CTCCCAGCCACTAATCTTCATCGTGCCCTTCTCCTGCAGGTTCTGGTGCATCTTGAAAGCTTGGAAGAGGAGGTGAGGCTCGTGGCCCATGCCTTTTTTCAGGCACTCGAACTCGGCGCGATCAAAGTAATCTTGGAGGATTGGCCTGTAGTCAGGGTGCGAGCATTTGGCAATGATTTCGCGAGCACGCTGACGAGGACACATGCCACGGACATCGGCGAGACCCTACATTTGGTTAAATAAGGGAGGTTAACTATTGGTCTCTTGGTGTCTCAAGAAAAGATATGATGTGGAAGGAAAAGTTGGAAGTGGAAGTCATTTCTTTACCTGTTCAGTCACAATGACGTCCAAATCGTGCTCTGTCTGATCAATGTGCGTACAGAATGGCACAATACAGCTGATACCGGTGGGATCAGTCTTGCTTGGACGCGCAGAAGGCGTGTGCATGATGCTATATTTAGAGCTACGCAAGAAATCAGCGGAACCCCCCAGTCCGTGCAACATCCGCGATCCCATCACGCAGGTGCTGTTGGCGTGGGCATAAATATCCACTTCGACAGGGGTATTCATGCCAATAACACCGAGACGGCGGATGAGTTCAGGAGAGTTGGAAACCTGTTGCGATCGGAGGAGCAGTTTGTCATAGTAAGTTTCCCAGTTATCGTAGAACCGCTTGAAGCCGTCGGGGGAGAATCTGATGGAGGTGGCAGTAGCAAAGTTCAAGTGACCGCTGTCGAAAAGGTCAAGGAAAGAGTCCTGGAGCACTTCGGTCCAGACACGGAGGTTCCGGAATTCGGCGCCACCAATGCTGAGGCCGCCGATGACGGCATTGGCGATGTTTCCAATACCGGACTGAATGGGCAAAAGGCTCGAGGGCAACCGTCCCATCTTGACTTCGTGTTGGAGAAACTCAATGATGTGTCTGGCAATGGCTTGCGATACCTCGTCCGCCGGGGCATTTGGTTGTGTCTGGTCGGGATAGTCGGATTCGACAATAGCGACGACCTTCTCCGGATCAATTGGGATGTAAGGGGTACCAATGCGGTCTTCCGGTGCCATGATCAGATAGGGCTTCCGTTTTGGTGGTACATCGCACATGGTGATGTCGTGCAGACCTTCGAACGAAGGACCAGAGGTGTTGACTTCGATGATGATTTTTTCTGCCATCTGAACCAGCTCAGGAGAAGCTCCAACGGAAGCTCCCGGAATGATTCCACCTTCCTCTGTGATTGCTGATGCCTCAATAACCACGACATCTAACTTATTGCTTGGTTTATTCTTGGTGTAAAATCCCTATTAATTGTGTTATTGTGGACTGCTTATCAATAACTAGCTCTTCTCATCCAAGTTCATGAACAGGCCAACTGGAGCAGGGTGGGATATATCACGTACATACACCAGATCTGCAGGGAACATGCTCAAGTGCTTATCAAAGAAGTTGATATTGCCTTGGTTGATCCCCTTCGAGATCTCTTTGCCAACCTGATGTGGTGCTCGCCTTTCAATCATATTGAGGCGAGCCCATCGATTCTCCGTTTCCGCACCCGAAGACGCTCCAACGAAAAGTGTATATTTCAACTTCCCTTGAAGGTTATTATTCTCAACGTAATCTGCCAGGGCAGTCGGTACTTTCCTATGCACAATTTACGGTTAGAATTCTGAAAACATCTTCCTATTAAAACCCACTAAAGTGGTTCAGCAGGTTTGCACGTACTTTGGATATCCAACCCCGGTAAAGCCAGACCAGCCGATATACGAACCATGAGGGAAGAGATCAATCAGATCCTCTGACTTGGCCAGCTTCTTCAGCATGGACGGCCGTCTGACACGGCTTCTCAGTAATGCAGAAGCAGCCATCGTTGCGTAGAATTTAGATATTTTGAATCTCTCTGAGGTGTTGTATATATGTCCTTTCACCACAACAGCTATGAATGGGACTTGCAATGGCCACACCTCCTAGCCGCGTGCAGGGAAGCTGGGGATAAATGGGCATTCCAAGTTCTAAATAAAGTTCTTTACAGCTCCAAGCTATATTGATCTAAAAGTAGATCGGTTGAGATGGAGACAGTTGATAAACTCTATTTCATTGGAACCGTAGGACACTTGAACCCTAAAGAGTTAAACAGAAGGATTCGAAATATACTAGAAAGTGTGAGTTTCAAGAAAAAGAAAGGAAACAAAAAGTCTTGCAATCTTGGAGCCAAAAGACCAAGAAACAGAGAACAACCAGGAACCAAGGCCAAAATCATGGTCTCTGACGTAGTTTAGTTCCTGACCTCGGCCATTCCTCGGGTCTTGAGCACGTGGAGAATTGTGGAAAGTTGACATAGGGCATTATAAGGGGGAGGATGTGTGGGAACGGCGAAATTAATTCATCACAAGAAAGTGCTGTCATAAAAATCCAATGCTCATTTGAGAAGATTGTGAAGATTTGGCGAATTGCCGACCCTGGGGACTCATTGTGTAGAGCAGCTAGCATCGAATGAGACGAGGGTAGAATCCGATTAGTAAACGACGGTGTTTCAAACCTTTTTCCTGCTAAGGAGTTTGACTAGTTCGTAGCGAGTTGCGCCACGCTTGAAACGACAAGTGCAGTAGAATGATAAAAATAATACAGAAAGCTTCTCATATTGTTCATTCATTCATTCATTTATTATTATATTGTTGCAAAAAGTGATGATATTGAAAAACAAGTTGAGAAAGTCGTCGTCACTTAAAGTTTCACAATTATAATGAAATAGAAAATACAATTATTTTTATAATTAACTGTGATTAAAAATTTAAAAAGTTGGTTTTCATACATTGTTATTTAAATATAGTTTCAAGCAATAAAATATAAATTTATAATATATAAAATTTAATAATTGTATTATATATTTATTTAAAATAAAATAATAATTATTATTTAAAGTAGTTAATATATAATTATTATAAATTAATCTATTAAAATATATATTTATAAAATTTAATTATATATTTTATATTTTTTAAAATAAAATTAAACTATTATTATTTTAAATATATAATTAATTATAATTAAAAAATATTTAAATTTATAAAATAAATTTTACTTTATTTATTTTTATTTAATATATAAATAATTATAATAAAAATATTATATAAAATAAATATAAATTAATTAAAAAAATTAATATTAAAATTATATTTATATAATAAAAAACTATATTTAAAAAATTTTATAAAAATTATTAATAAATATATAATTTTATAATATATAATATATAATATTTAATTAAAATATTAATAATATTATATATATATATATATATAAATTAAAATAAAAATACTTTAATTATAAATATATTTTAAATATAAAATTTTTATTTATAATTTTATTTAATTAAAACTTATTAATATATATTCTTATAATAAATATTTAAATTTTTTATATTATAAATTTTTAAAGTTGATAAAAAATATATTTTTATAATTTTAATTTTAATATTATATATATATTATAAAATATATTATTTTTTATTTAATATAAATTATTAATATTTTATTATTTTATTTACTATAATAAAGATTAAAAATTAAATTAATTATGATAAATATATTTTTGAATTTTTATATTATATATTTTTTAATTAATAAAAATGAAAAAAAAAATTTATATTAATATTAAAGATAAAATAGTAGTTTATATTTATTAGTGATTAAACTAAATACTTTTTTGCATTAGTATATTGATGTAATGAACTGATACTTAATTAGTAATTTTCTTTGCAACATACTATTTATTAGTCGTATGATCAACATTACAGTAGTTCTCTTCTTCCGTCCCAGTCGTATGATTAATCAGACTATTATCACCTTGATATATTCTTTATATCTTTATGCTTGTGAATTTGCTCTTATGAATTTCTTTATTTTCTTCTCTGATAAATTCATTTTTTATTATTAGAAAATGCTGAGAACTATATTCAGTAGTATGACAATCATTGATTAGAGTTTCATTTTTATTTATAATATTTTACTGATTTTATTAATATATCTTTTATGATTTTAAAAACTTCATTAGTTTTATTTAGAGTTTTTAAAAGTCTTATCATTTTTTATGTAAATACTTTATTTAATTGTAGATTAAAGCTTAAAATTAAAGTAATGATATTAAATATAGTAATAATTTATAGTATTATATATTGTAACGAGGCGGCACCGAGACGGAATGTCAACAACGACGTCACGTAGGGTGGTTATAAGGGGAACCGAATGGGGTGGGCTTGGCTAGTTAAGGAATCATACGAGCATATGCCTACGAATAGAAGTATCTAGGAATCAGGCGTCCAAATGGTTGTATAGAGAATTGTATGCGTATTCCCAGTAACTCTAATATTGAGAACGAATCGTTGACCTCTGAACAGTGGGTCAGCTAGCTATCTATATAGGGCTTCTGTCAGGCTCCCCCCCCCCTGATGAGAAGCCGCCCTACCCGCTGAGAGGGGTAGAGGCGCCCTCCAGGTGTAATTGGCGTTGTGCTTCTCAGTGGCCCTCAGGCACCTCGGCACGGCATATATATAAATATATATATATATATATTAGAAACTATATTCGATTCTAAACTATTCTTTCATTTATATATTTATATAACTATTGAATTTTTGGTTTTGGAATTTTTCTTTTTAATATAGTAAAATATTCTATATACTATTTATAATCTATATTTTAAAAAATTACAAATATTATCTATCTCAAAGTACTATAAATATAAAAATTTTAAATATATTGATCTGAAAGCTAAGCAGTAGAACTTGATTTTAGATATTTATCAAATACATCTAGTTTATATTTAAATACTTATATAAAAAGTTAAATGGTTTAATATCTATCAGTTTTAAAGATTAGTTATTAGTTTTTATTGTACTATTTGACATCTTCATAGTTATTATTCTCTATGATTCAATCAGTTATTCGTTGCGACGCCAAGTGGACCTTGCCCTTGTCTGGTGTAGCGCCGTCCGTGGGTCATCCGTCGTGAACTATATAAAAGCTACTTCGACTGCTCCCCACACGCGCACTTCTGCGTCTCTATTTGCCCCCCCACACCTCTTCTCTGCCCCTGCTGTCTCCATCTCCTCCCTGTTCCCGTCTTCAGTGCCGTATTCTTGACTCACTGCCTCTACGCCACCGCCCCACCTGTCCAACACGCTGATTTGGGCGCCGCTGGTCAACATAAGGTTTTCTTCGGTATCAGCATCGAACCCACCTAGGGTTCTTTTTCATATATGTTATATATGTGTCCTTGCCTTCCTCCTTGCTCCGCTCCTCTTACCGTTCCTTCACTCTCTTCTCCCGTCTCGCGTCGAAGTGATGCATGTGATTCCAGATAAAGCAAAAACCCATCACCTCCTGTATCAGCATCCGGTCAACCCCGCCCACCGTTCTCCGCTCTCTCATGCTTCGGACGTGCCTCCTGTTCAACGGCCAATGGCAAAATATCCCACATTTCGGTGAAACCCCGTAGGAGTGAATGGATGGTCGATCCCAATTACGGCGTTGCTGAACCGGAGGTACTCTTCTCCCGACACTCGGACTCGTTCTTCGACTTTGTCATTTGCTGGTGTCTCGATGTGTCGGACGGAGAAATAACGGAGAAGGGGGGTCGATCGCATGCTGCATTTCCGGCCTTCATTCCGCAAGTGGTTCGAAGGACCCCGGTTTCAGCTCTAGTGTGACGGTCTTGCGGTCTGGCCTATCAACCCCAGCAGGGAATCCCTGTGATGTGATATGTACGCGGGCAAGCCGGAGTCGCATCGTCCGGTCATCCTCGCATCGGGCTTTCCGGAGCATGTCCGCGCCGCGTACGCCATGTAGAGGCGAAAGGATGGTGTGGTAGAGGAGCAAGGCGCAGGCCCGAAGGTACGAGGAGGCCGCGGAAGCGAGGCTATAGCTGCATGTGTGCACAGCCGTCGTGTGCTGCTCTTCCTCACTTGGGGGATTCGCATCCGATTCGTCCATTGTTCTCGCGCCTTCTATGCCTGGATTGTCTGAGCGAAACTGGACCGGGACGGGAGGAGCCTGTGGCGCCGCTTTTGCGTCCACCCGACAGGCGATGGGCGTGGCTGGTCGCTACTCGCACCCGCCTGCGTTCCTTTCTGGTGCTAATGTGGTGTGCGGTTCATGCGGTGGGGGGAAGGCTGGGATCCGGTGGCTGACGATGTTTGGAGAGCCTGACGCTCGTCGGCTCTCTGGGTGGGTGTAGATTTTTCTGGCCGGCGGGCTTATTTGGAGGAACAGGGTGGATGGAGCTATCGCCAGAGCGGCGAAAACTGTAGATAAATGGTCTCCTTTCCCCCGTGGATTCACCACTGCCGTTCCAACAAACTACACAAGATCGCCATCTCTTCTGCGAACATGTGCAGCGACTGGAATGTCTATTCCCCTTCCAAGCTCCTCAGTCCCCTAACCCCACGAATCTCCCTCCTTCAAGACCCGTGCCCGCTAGGCATCAACCTTCTTACCCTATACTCTCTACACTCAAATCTTTCCAGACAGTCCTTACACCTTCTATCAGCCCTCAAAACACTCCCCCCCTCTTTCGCCCCTCATCCTCCTCAAAGTCGTCTTTCGCATGTTCCCCCTTTCTCCCCCCCCTTCAAAGATCACCATCATGTCCAGTCTCGGGCAGGGGACACTCGCCCGAACGATTTTGATGAATTCTTCGCGGGACTTGATGTAGCCGATTTCAATCCATCTCTCTGCGTTCCCATCCTCAGTGATGCAGACGTGGAATGCTCGCGCTCACACCAGAGCGTCTCCTAGGTTTTCCTGATTGGGATGAGGACAGAGGCCAGGAGAAAGACGACGAATCCTAACGAATCCTAACCGGTTCCTTAGCCGGCCGTAGAATGCGGCCTGGTCGAATCCACTGGCACAAAGGCTCTTCCTGTCGGTTCCGCAGGCCGGCTTATTTGAGCTGGGTCCGGATCAGGATACATCGCACAAGGGATTGATAATTACACTCGCTACCCGGCTAAACACACACTTCAAAATTACATTATTCTAAATCAAACTTACGTGTATACAAAGCCGTACATCCAAACTCACTAGCGTTCCAATGTCATTGATATGTGCCCAACCGCACTGATTAGGGAATGGAACCTAGGGGGCTTAGGGGGGGGCATGCCTGCGAGGGGGCAGGGGAAAGTCATACACAGGGTGCCTATGCCCACTAAGGTGAAAGAACAGAAGCTTGATATGAGAATGAATAAACATCCTCATAGTGATTTGTCACACTGCTCAGCAGCATACAGTTTATATGATAGATGTCAGATAAGTAGTTGATAGCAGCAGTGTTAATTTCTCAATTTCTCTTTTACAGTATCTGTAGTTTTGAAAAAATAATTCTTAAAAAGGAATCAAGCAGTCATTCTAAATCTTTTTCTCTACAACTTCTCAGAATGGAGAAAATTGAAAATGTCTTTTGGAAAATTTCACACCGAGATCACTACTCAGATGATAAATAGTGTGTTTTCTTAGTATTTCAAAGAGAAGGTAGAATGCCAGAAGCTGATTTATTGAAGAATATTTCCAGCTTTGGAGAGCCATCACACGCAGAGTCAAGGTCTGGCACAGATGAATTGAAGGATGATTTTGTAGATATTTCAGATTAATTGCATCATAATGGGTTCAGCACATACCAAACACATCGGAACACTAGTTATTTTGGTTGTACAGCTGTGTATACGCTGTGTATACATTATATTTGATCGTAATTTTGAGCAGTGTATTTAGCCATGTATTTATCAATAATCCCTTGGGTCAAAAGCTGAGCTTTTCTTTTAACTTCATTAATAGAGCGCAAAGAAGATCCTAATATAAGATACAAAAGGTGGCAGCAGAATGAACTTGACAAATGAAATTATAGCGAAGCAACGACAAAAAATTAACATAGAAAAAAATAAAAATTAAAAAAAATGAAAAAAAAAAAAAAAAGAAAGAAAGAAAATCAGAGCCACAACATCCTGGAAAACATCTGAAGACAATACCAACAAGAAACAGAATTGAGGGACGGTGGCGGAGAAGAGAGGGAAGTAATACGGCCAAACGGAATTCCCATATCTGTCTGGGGTTAAGTCCCTGTGCTGAAATCATCTGTTTCGCCGTTCGTCCGATTAGTAGATAAACCCCCATCCATGTAGAGCACCCTTGATTTCAGACCCGTATGTGTATGCTTCAAGTCAGGAGCGCGTGGGCGATTGAGAAGCATCCATGACAAAAAATTAGCGTATTAAATAACAGAAAATAGAAGGTAATCGAGAAGAGAGAGTAAGTAAATCCTGCCCAAAAAATCAAATACAAAAGGAAAAAAAGAGTTACGTTGATCCCCTTAAGATGCTGCAGCTCGTACTGCATCGGTCATTTCTTCATCTGGCTTTTGGTCACCTTCAGCCATCGCAGCATCTTCAACTTTGTGATTATCCTCCGCACTCAACGCTGTCACGGTTTTTGTCTCCGTCTCGCCAACCCATGATCGGAATTGCCGGTTTGCCTGTTCTACTTCATCCTTGCTAAGCTCACAAGTCCAGCTTGGGTTGTTGACAAACTTCTCCGTAAACCGTTCTTTGCGCTTTTCTCTAACGGCAGCACGCTCTCTAGCAGCCTCAGCAGGATCCTCATCCCCAGTAGGCCGACGGTACCACCAATCTTCCGTGCCGGGCTCGTAGAGGATATGATAACTGTTGGCACAGATGCGGATGACCAATCCATCGTGGTTGACTAGCGGCTTATAATACAGGTTGTATTCTTCATCCGAATCCATTTTGCCAGGAAGGTTTCGTTTTAAGAAAGGCATACGCATCTGCGAAAACGGGACACCCTCAGTCGGATCACGCATAGTGAATGCAGAGACATAGTATGACCATCTGGCTTCCGCGTTGAGCTCCTCGTTGTCAAGAGTGCCGTCCTCAGCAGTCAGCAGCTGTGCCATCACGTGCTTAGTAGCAGGGACCTTATAGAAGGGAGAGAAGTTAGTTAGAACCCCATGCTGATATTTCCACTTCTCCAAGAACGACGAAACTTACGAAGGTAATACGGTAGATGTCTCCTTCTTTAATTAACTTCTCAATTTGTTTTCGATATTGAATCTCCTGGTTGTGTGTTGTCGTGTCCTTGTCACGCTCCTTGAAGAAAATATTGATAATATCCGAACTCTTGTCCTTGGGATCTGTATTGAAAATCCCACCGGCATATCGAGAAATTCCACCCAGGATTTTGTCCAAGTGGTACAACTGCCAGCCAGTCTTCAGGTAAAACCGACGAAGCGTTTCCTCCATATGTGTCATATCAATATTCCCCTTAATCACTTCCTCACACATGCGAACGATCTGATGGTATAAATTGGACTTTGGGTCCGTATCATAAAGGAGATCTGAGGGAGACTTGTCGATCATTCCAAGATCGTAGGCAGCCTTGGAGGCCAGTGCTCTGCGGACAGCTTCATGGGCGTCTTTCTCGTGTAATTTGATTCGGAGAAGGCGGCTGTAGAAGATTTCAAAAGTGCGAATAAAGCAGTAGATATTAAGGTTGCAGTAAAGATGATGGACCTTCTTCTTGTATGATTCATTCAATGGAATTTCACGCTGCTGGTTGAAGTTGCCTTGGCTCGGATGTTCCATCCATTTCAATTCGGCAACATCAAATGGCTCAGTTGGATCCGGAATTGGCGTGGATGGAACAAGAGTTCCGATGCCGGGAGTGGAGGCTCTGCTGCCCGAACGCACACTGACATCTCTGTCAATACGAGGAGTCTTTTCATTGCGGCGCTCTAGAACATCACGCAGAAGGTCCAACCTTTTGCCATTTGCGATTCTCCGTGAACGAAGGGAGGCAATATCTTCAGGGGACAGACTTTCATCATCTGCTTCCTCACTGGCTGGTGTTGTATCGTAAACTTCGTTGAGATATGTTTTGAAGCCCTCACGGTCCATGCCAAAAAATACGGGAATAAAATCTTTGAGGAAGTTGATGACTTTATTGGGATCTGCCCCAAAGCCAGCAGAGTTGTGGTCGATGTAGCACAGCAAGAGGTGAGTTGCATCCACCAGAACTTCTGAGTCCTCGAAGACGAAATCGAATTGATAGTTTGACACTTGATATCCGCTCTTACGAATATTTCGGAGCTCTTCAAACTTAGCCTGGATTTCGTGCTGGATGTGTTTCGCTACAAACAGCTTTTTGTCGGAGCCTTTCATGATGATAGCCTGGTGGTCAAGACTTCTCCAGAAACCTTTCTGCATTTGTTCGCGCCACACTTTGTCCCATTCACGCTGATCGCCCAAAAAAAAAAAAAAAGGCACTATTAGCGCACCAGAATGGTGACTCATAAAAATATGGGAATGAGCATTACTTACTTGACAGGCTTTCCATTCTTCGCATTTCTGTTTCAGCCGGGCAAGAACAATGGGCATAACCATGCATGGTCGCAGAAACATCTCGTCGATAACTTTCTGGCCACGTTCCCTATCATAGATCTTCTTAATGACCCTCTTGTAGATAGTTTCGCTCTGACCTCCAAGTCCAGGTGGTAGTTTGAAACTAGCCCTTTCAGCATCAGTCATTGTCGCCATTTGCTGAACAAGAGGCTCCATAAGCTGGATGGTACGAATACATGCTTCAATATGATGATCGTAGTCATGTCTATCCTCCTCGATACGATGAAGTGTGTCTTCGAACTGGTTTTTCCGATGAGCGACAAACCCAGAATCCTCCGATGCCCAGGTTGGGTGGGAGGCCCACTCATCATTGAGAACGCTTTGGCACATATCATCACGTCCGCTACATGGCTTTTGACGTTCTCGTTTGGGCAGCAGTCGATAGCTGGGACCAAGAGCTCGGCAATGAGACAAATTGACAATTCCCGAGTCAGGCTTGGCTTTTGGTTCAATGATCTCATCTTTAGGCTCAACATGCATGAATCTCTTAAACCATGACATAATTTCCTGGTTGCCCCCGATAAAACTAGCTGCCCTGTTGATGAGGATATTTCTGTCGATCAGGTCCGCCGAATAGAGGTTACATAGCTTCAGGAATTCACCAAAGGTTTGTTTGTTCCCGATAAACTTTTTAACGCGATCAAAGAATGCATACTCTTCATGAGATGGGGTAAGTGAAAATGTGGGAGGAATCGGTTCGGGCAGAGCGGGAACAAGTGTTGGAGAAACGGCTGGGGGAGCTTCAGCTTGAGTGGTCGGTTTGTGGGTCAATTTTGCTCTCTGTTGGAAAGAAAATATCTAATTAGGATGGAACAATTCGATTCACTTTCCATGAAGGATTGGCGATCAAGGGTCTTCCTGAGTGGAGAAGCAACAAGAACAGAAAGAGTGGACTCACTTTTCCAGGAGCTCCAGGCTGTGTACCCGGAGCTCTATTTGCCTGGGTGCTTGCAATGCTAGCAGTATCTGCAGGCACATTTGATGGCCCTCCCAAACCGGCACTTCCCGGACCCTGAGCAGGGGGCTGGCTACGTCGCTTCTTAATATCCTTTGCAGGTTCCTTCACGTTAAACTGGCCAAGAGGAGGCATCTTGACATCGCGGTTTTGAGTCTGGAGCAGCGCGGAAGAATTTGCATATCCGGGCTCTCCCCGTATATTACTGATGGGTGTAGCTTCTTCCGCTGACTGGCGAGCTGCTGCTTGTGCTTTTGCCTGGGCGGCAGATTCGGGGAGAAACTGCTTGAAATCTTCGAGAAGGTCCGGTGCGGAATTAAAAAGGATTGTAACTTGGGCGTATACGTCTTGGATTGGCTTTGACTCTCGTTGATATGTTTGGAGGATTTCGAGGAACTGTTTATAGGTATCGGGAGAATCGGCAAAGCGGTTCTAGTGAAAGGAACAGTGTAAGTCAGCTGTATTTATTCCGGCAACAAAGGAGGAAGACGATAATGCTGAAATTGCCGTTCATTCCAATATAGAGGTCACCTACCTTGATCTTATTAACGTAACTGATGGCATGGTTAAACTCAACCGGTCCACGTTTACTCATATCCCCTTGCACACCCTGTAGCACACCAGATCCCAAACCAGCAAGGCTATTAATAGGCTGGTTTGGTCCAGGAGTCTGCATGCTGCCCATATTTAACACTGATGACCGACCAGATGTCGCCGTTGCAGCCGAAACTGCGCTCTGCAACTGAGAAACACCTCGTTGTTCCTGCTGATGCGCTATAGTCGCAGCGTTGCTTGACGCCTGCTGATCCTGCTGACCTGAATACTCATAACCGGGCTCCTGTGGCTGATTTTGTACCCCTTGCTTTCCGCCGTAAATACCAGACGGCATTATATGGCTTTTAGGGGAATATGGACCGGGGCCTAAGTTCATTCTCGAAACTGGCTGAGGCTGTTGGCCTTGCGCGGGTTGTTGTTGCCATCCTGCGCGAGACTGGTCGTAGTAGTCCGTTGTTCCGGGAGGCACAGGACCACCTGGGGGCGCGGCGTCACCTGTTGCTTCTAGAGATGGCCGCACTGCTGACTGCATTGAAATGGTATTTGTGCCGGACGGAGTTGTCACTCGGATTGTATCTGGGTTATCCTCGGTGCCGCATTCGATGCGATATCCTGGTGGCAGGAAGGTATTAAAACCCTGAATAAGTGCGGGATGGCCGTTAAAAAGCGTTGAAACTCGTTGGATAACACCAGGAGTGTCGATTCTGGGGAGAGTTAGTATCCGCTCATTTACCACTTAATCTTCCCTTGGGTCATCTTACGCTTGGCTTTTGAAATCTTTCATGATATCGAGGAATCGGTTATAGACATCAGGCTGTTCAACAAACCTAACTTTAACCTGGTCAAGGTAACTTAACGCATCCTGTATTGGGAACGCCATTTAGCAAAGACTGTTCAAAGGTTTTGCTTATGATATGACAGAGACAATCAAAGACCAAACAAATAAAAAGTAGGCAATTAAGTTTATAATGCCAGATGCAGTTGTATTTCTAGAAGTGAATGTGTGGTTTGAGCAAAACTTTCAGAGAATGAGGGGAGTAGATAGTCCTTCAGATACTGCCAAGAGACTTCGAAAGATATTTCCCATCCTCAGCAGTTCATCGACTTCATGCTCAACGATCACCCTCCCCCAGAAAATCTTGCTTCAAAGAATACCCTCATAACCCCACACATATGTTCTTTGCGTGTAAGGTTTCGGATTGGGTGGAATTTCCAAGAGTGGTATTTGGCAAAAAGAAAGGAACCGAATACAACAGCTTCCTCCAGAGTGAGATTTCAACTTACATTTAATATTGGTTGTTGTCCTTGCGCTAAAGCAGCAACACTTCCAGATATCTGGGGAGGTGCAGAACCGTTGAACCCAAGCATTGATTGTTGAGAGGGTTGGCCCTGGTGGAGGTATGTTCGTGGAGGTCCATCTGCGTGTTGCATCTGGTTCCCAAACAGAGGTCCAGACCCATTCGAACTGGGCATAGTTCCTTGTGGGGGGTTATTAGAGGCGTTTGAACTCATATTAGAAAGGAGGCCATTGGGTCCGCCTAGCGGGTTGTGACCTTTCGACGCGACAGGTTGGTGAATGGGAATCGGGCCGGTATGGCTTTGAACAGGATGATGTGGCTGTTCGCGATTATACCGGTCCATGAGGTCCCGATCTCGATCTCGATCTCGTTCCCGTTCCCGGTATTCGCGCTCTCTTTGTATCATTTCCTCCTCACGAACCATTTCCCTCTGTCGTTCAAGTTCCAGCTCACGATCTCGCTCTCGCGAATCTCTTTCGCGATCCCGATTCATAGAAGGCTGTTGGGGCGAATGTTGCATGGACTGACCAATCCCAGGAAGGGGATGCCCCGGAGGACCCGGAGGACCCGGAGGATGGGACGGTTGTTGGTGTTGGCCATATCTGGGGGGTGGTTGGTGTGACGCTGGTGGGGCGCCAGTGCCTTGGGTTATGTCTGATAGGGTAGGGAGAGTATGCCCGGATGACTGGCTGACCGGATGATAAGGACCTTACGTAGAACACACGAGTTAGTTGCTGCAAATTCTTCGCGTCTAGGATGTGTCCATTGATCATCCTCCACACAGCTCTGGGTTATGATGCTGCAACTGTGCATCTCTGTCGCGCCAAAGCAGGCAAAGTGGGACAGAATACTCACTGTCACATCAAGAAAGTATATATTAGCATCAAGACATCAACAAAGAATGCCGCACAGCCTATTATGGCGATGAAATCATGAGATTTCCATGTGCGAAAAATGGGAACAATGACTTACCCATAAGATCCTAGGGGTCGGTTTGGGGGCTGGTTCATCTGGTCAACTCCTAGATGGGGTTGCGACCCACCTCCTGCAGAGTGCCAGGCATCTTTATTTGATGGATTCATTCCGTTTGCGTGAGGAAAGAATACAGCTCTGGAAGGAAGGAGGTGTGCTCCAGGGTAGGGAAAAGTGGGAGGGGCTGCTAATTTTTGTAGTTTTTGTTGGCGTTTACAAGGCAATACTGGGCAAGGAGACAGATAAGCTGGTATGTATACTCCGCAGAAAAGGTTCAACAGACCGGGGATAACGCGGGCATAGTCGCAGGCTAAAGGAACAGAATATATCCCAACATGTATGCGACCAAGGACAGCAGAGAAGAACGACTCAACAAGCGGAGGCGGAGAAGTTGAAACTGCTCAAACAAAAGAAAGCTGGGAGGAATGATGATGATGATGTTGCTGCTGACCGCCCTGGGGAGGAGAATCTCAACGGGTCGATTTTTCTGCCGCTCCCTACCACGGCGCGATCGGGTTTAGCAACTGCCAGGGGCCTGGGCACACGCTAGTCTTTGGCTGAAGGCTGCCGATTGGCGGAACCATGGAATCCGGACACGTGATCTCTGCTGGATTTCTAGCGGCAACCGCACACACGATTTGCCTTCTAATAATATTTTGGAGCTTTTTGGAGCTGACATCAACCGACTGCCAGCTAGTAACTTTATGGAGCGAGAGGTTTTAAAATGAAGAAAGGGGAAGGGGGATAGATGCCACGGACCGGATGAGAATGAATAATTGCCCGAAGGAAGTAAAAACCAAATGTTTCGGCTGTTGGAAAGCCAAGAGTATCGCTAGTGAATATGGTATTACATGTGTGTTTTAACTGGCATTTTATCAAATCGAGAGTGGATAGAAGGAGTAAGGTGCGCGTGGCACAAAAAAAAAAAAAAAAAAAAAAACCAAAGGGTATTTGCATGATAATGTGTCTAATCACTCTCCTCATGGCCTTGAATGGCCAATGCCGTTCAACACTTACGACATCCCCCTTCTCCTTGGTCTCATCAAGCCACTCTTTCTTCACTTTTATGTTAACCTCCACAACATTCTCAAACGACCCGTTTCTCACCCACCCGTCTTGGCCTAGGCCTTCCAAAAGCAAAATGCCAGAACTCCACGACGATATTACATTTAAACCAGTTCCCTTCAAAACTCATAAAAAGTCTCTCTCGTCATCCGCATCGATGCGAGCAAAAGGGGACAGGAACTTGTTCCAATTGGGTAGACATGAGTGCATCCCAGCTGCTAAATCACCCTAAAGGAAGGCGCCCTTGAGAGTGACGATGTTACCGGTCCATGGCCGCCAGCTTTATCCATGAGGTGTTGGATGAGTGCCAGCGCTGGATAACGCAGCGCATTGAATGAGCCTTGTTGTCCTTGGCATTGAAAATCATGTCCCAGTATAACAGCGTCTGTCGTCTATACAGCTCGTCAGCGTGAGCTTTTTCGTCTGGCTCAAGAGACTCGTAATCGTCCAGCAGGTGGGTTTGGTGTAATCCTGCGGAGGCTCTGAGTCCCGGGTTTTCGAATAAGGGGGAGGGGGGGATGCCCTGCCGCCAGCAGCAGAGGGAGGATGGTCGTGTGTTGCCAATCAATTATATATGATACCTTGCACGATTAAGAGACGTAGAGATTTTGTCGGGTTAAGATCTATGATTTGTTTCCGTTTGTTATTCAAATTTGCAATTTGGCATGTAAAGCGGTTCTTGGGCTGCTCACCTGGGTGATTCATAGTGGGTTGATTCCAAGAATGCCCAGCGTTATCATCATGCTCCGATTAGAGGTAAGGTCAAAATGCCAGACACCTATCTAGCAAATCCACATATATCTCAGGTGAGACTTCGCCCTTGAGCATATCATCATGCGGAAAATGACTGACCCGAGGCTTTCCCGTACTTACTGGTCCATTCCCTCTCTTTCCAGCCGATGAAATAGAGATAATCGTGGTGAGTGCTCCCTATTCTGAGAAAAGTGGAAAACCCCATTGTCAGGGTATTATGGGTAAATATATCAAACTTCCGCAACTGGACATGGACATGGAAACAAATTGTTCACAGGGACCCCTATTTATATTAAATTGTGCAAGTTTTCTACGCTAGAGCATATAATCAACCGTGGGCCCGATGAAAATCGACGAGCGTCTCCATCCTTGTCTTCAGTTCCGGAAGCATAAAAATCTGCCTGCAAGTTCTGGGTAATGATGGTTTTGTCCTTGTAATAAATACTCACATACGAACCAAAGCGGAACAAAACAAAAGCTTGCGTTCAATATCCACATAGATGGTAACGAAGCGGATTTGTTTCCTTGCCAGCAAGAATGAACCAACGGTCTTTCAAGGGAATTCCGATGGCCTTCTCCGTGACAATATACTCCATCCCCATGTCATTTTTGCGTGTGGGAAGACCATGCAACCACTCGTGGAGACTGGTATGCCTTTTGAGCGTAGTAAGTCTAGTGTTGCGACTTCACTGTCAGTCGCGAGTTGTTTGGGAACGGCGATGGAGTATGGAATCTTGACGATGACTTCTACGACATCGTCCATGGTAAGGAGAAGTACTCTGTAAATCCCGCCTTCTGCAAGTTTCCTCACGTGGGCGACATTTTCGCGATTTGCACTCTGGACCGCAATAATGAGGACTAAAAGGTATGGCCCCTGGAGGAGTCTGTGCAAAGTGTCGCAGAGCCGGATCATATGAATGAAAAAAAGCCAGGTAGAAGAGGATAACTTTTAACGCGAGGTATCACTGGCTTTATTCTTGCCAACATGTCGAGTGCCCGGTGGTTGAATAACCCACCAAGGTCAAAATATATCTGGAACCAGCTCATGCACCACCCACTCCATCTATTAGATGCCGCCGCGCCCTTAGTAGGCAACTTGTCCAGATGGTCTCCACACGAGATTCACGTGACAGGAACTAAATTGTTAGCCAGCATTGACCGGTTGTTACGCTCTGATGACGAATATCGCGCATGTATCTCCGTTCAGTGATCATCCCATCTGGGGGAGGTTAGCTACGCTATATACAGGCTATCAAGACCACGTGCAGCAGGCGGAGCGTACCAACCGGGCAAGGCCGGCCATGAATCTACGCATACGTAGCGGAACCAGCCGCCGTATCGTGGAACCAATGGATGTAAGTAATAGTTACGGACCAGTGCACTGCATCCAGCCTGCTAGGCTCTCTCTGGCTGGAACAATTGGTGGGAATGATATATGTTAATTTGCGCCGAAATCCTCTCAGAATATATTTTCGATTATTATATACTGGATATAAGGAGCCGGGAAGGAATCAACTGAGAAGATAGCAACGTTAAGTTCAAGAGCAGATCAGCACTTGCTGAAACCACGGAGATTCAATTTTATGGCCATAAACTGCCACTTGCAAAATGGCTCTGTTTTCAAAGAAATGAGAGGGCAAGCTGTGTCCAATATGCAGGGTTGCCATTCCATAAATCTCTCCCGGCGTGAAACGATTCAACATGTTCTTCCAAGCCAAATGCCAATGCATGACGGTGTCCCATCAGAACAAGCTCTTGATGGTTAGAATACTTTTTTTTGGGGGGGGGGGCAACGGTTGAAGGCCTATCGTCAATGGTGGTAGCCTCTGCTTTCTCCATGTTTGAAAGCGGAGGATGAATCTCTCGTACCGCCTTCCACGACAAAATGAAGTGAGCATTCAATCCCTCACAATCACTGCACAGAAATGGGTGTACTTTAAATCGCAATGCTCCCAGTGCATTTTATTCAAATAGTCGTTGTCTCTCCACAAATCCTTGGATTTGCCTTGGAATTGTTACAAGATTCTTAATTTCTCTTATAAACATCCTCTTGCTTGATACCCAAAACCGCTCCATTTTCGGAAACACCGCTTGATATCAAAATAGACAATTTTTAGTCAAAAACTCATTTTTGCCGTTTAAAGTATCATATTGAGGTCTGCCGACTTTCGCAATTATTTTTCACCCACCATCTCTAAAGGGCCAGACCGTTTGGCCGAAGGCCACCGCGGATATGCTTTGATGTGGAGTCAGACAGGAACTACGACGGAACTGCCATCCGTACGGAGTAGACTGTCATTGCGGTATATGCATATCCCGGTTGGCGCTGAGCCTGACGGAAAGGTTATAGAAACTGCGGCCATCGAAGCTGTCTCGAAGATTCCGTGAGGTCACAGCGTGATTGTCGAAAGCTTGCTACATGGTGTGATTAGAGAAAGGGATAAATAGTTCGTTGTTAGGTTTTACAAGGGTGTTTTGTAGGGTTTACAATGTTTTGGAAAAGTGGGCCTAAATGCACGCTCTCATGTGTATGAAAGAGAGCATCCAGATTTTATATGGAATACTTGCTAGAAGTATCTCAGCTATTCGTATCATGACAGTCAAAGTGTATAATTATATAGGAGGTATTTTCAGTGTTTAATCAGAGACTGTTTTAACTTGAGAGGTAATATCAAGTGATTCAGAATTTTATGAGATGTTACACTGTGCTTGCACATGGTGCATGTTTGAAGATGAAATAAGCATCATTCCACAAAACTAGTTAAAGACAAATGGAATTTGATAACTATTAGTTAGTTACTTATTAATCGTTTGGTAATGTCAGATGCAGATGCAGAGATCAGAAGGTATGCAATTAGTTAGCATGTGAAAATTGATTAGAATCAGATGTAGCTGTGTACTATCTCACCATGAGCTTATTTTAGTTTCAGTCTAATTACGTATTTAAATTTTCATTATTCTTTGAGGTGCAGCAAGGACGCTTCCCCCTATTACTTATGAGGAAAGCGAGAAACTTTATCTCCAGATTTTAAACCCGACAAGGAGTGGTTATACGGAGTACACCGTAGTTATTCCTTTTCAACTGTTTCTCTTTCCAGCACCTGGACAGCACCTGGAGCTGAAATGGTGTATTTATTTTATTGTCTTTATCGTAATCCACCCCCTTTTAAACAAACCGTCTGACTAAACATCTTTCAGCTCAATCCTTCTCATCATCAAATTATTTAATATGCCAGCCACTCTTAGCGAGAAGGCTTCTAATCAAAAAGCCAGGTTTTTATTAGATATTCAAGTCTATGAATCAAATTAAATCTCAAGTATTAAAGTTACTTTTAAAGTGAACAATCTATCTATTACTATAGTGTTTGATAGATTATATAAATTAAAGATATAATCACATCCTTGACTCAATAATCAAGAATAAATTATTATAAAAAAAAGTTCTTAGTTCAAATAATCTCTAAATAAAAGAAAATAATTTTTTTTATTTACAATTATATAATAGTGATTGATCTGCTATTTGTAAAGTTTAAATTTAATATTTCTAATACTATAGAAATTAATTAAATAGTACTTTAAGCAAGAGATTAAATTTTTTATATAAATATACCATTTAATAAATAATAAATAAGGATTTAATATTTTTAAAAAAGCATTCAATTGATCAATTGATAAATAACTAATACTTTTAAAAAGTAGTGTTGAAAGTATACAAGACTATAGATATATAACTCTAATAAGATTAACTTCTTAATAAGAGTTATTTGAATGAATTTAAAAGTGATCAAATTTATGAGAGAAAATAAACCAACTTTTATAGAGTTAGAAAATAGAGAATAAGTAACTATAATTAAAACAATTAATATCATAAATTGAGCTTTATATATGAAATTATACTGAAAAACAAGTTTTATTAAGACTCAAAATATAAGCAGTAGATATCAAATAATTAAATAATTATTATTAATGATAAAAGTTAAATTAAGAGTAAGTTTAACTTCATATGATTATGAAAAGTATTTAATAGATATACTGAAACCTATTTAATAAATATATATAAATTATTAAGTATAAATAATTATATTAGTATATAATAAAAAATCATTAAAACATCAAATTAGAGATTAATTATATTAATAATTTTTGTTTGTTAGCATGAAGTATATGCAAGTAATAGATTTAATACTATTCATTTTAAATAAAATTTCTACTCAATTATATATTTCATTTCAATTTCTACTCTTTGAATCAATGTATAAATTTTATAAATTCTACTTCTTCTGAACTTTTAAATTTTTTGTAGTATAATTTAATTGAAATAAGAGAACAACACAACTAGATATTATATAAATACTTCTTCTGGTATTATCAATTAGCTTCTAATCAGCTAGTTAAAATACGTCTATTGATTATATATAGTGGTATTATACTAATATAAAAGAATAGAAGCTGAGAGCTATCAACACCAGACAGAAGCAACAGAGGGAAATATAGCTGAAGAAGAAATTCTAACCACTCATGAAAAATTAGCTAGTACTGCTGGAGCTCAGGAGTTCAATAGATTAAAGAAAAGATGAAGGATTTATATCCAAGGACTAGAAATTGAAGAACCCTCCTTACCTGTAGCAAATGTAATATTATTAGGCAGTGCCCACAGGCAGAAGAGCGACAAATTTTCGAATTAAGCAACAACACCAGGAATTATATATAGTAGGAAGGTGTTTGGTTCGGAAAGGGGGTGAATTCTGTGGTTCACCCGGTAACTAACTGACTTATTAATGCGATACTGACTGGCTGAAAATTCCTGGGGACTTTGGGGGAAAAGTGGCGATTGCCTTAATGTAGACTAGCGCCGTACTAATGGCCACCCTGATACAGGATACGGGGTAACTTTCGATGTCAGGGTTGCCTTCTACGACGCCTGGGACCTCGGCCGAGATCGAGCCAGGCAAAATCAAGGTCGGCTGTGAACCAGGTACCTCCCAGAGTGCTCTCCAGCGCCTGCCGAACATAACATGCCATTCGACTACTAAGCCGCATCTTGCCGTTAGGATCGCCAGGCTTCATATTTCCATCCTGGATCTCTCTTTTCATCCTTGACTTTTTCTTCTCTTCTACCCATCTGCGAACTCTTAACCATCCTTATCCTCTCCGTGTGAACTACAGCGCACGTAGCATACCTACCCCTCTTCTTCTCCCTCTTCTTCTTCTTCTTCTTCTTCTTCTTCTTCTTCTTCTTCTTCTTCTTCTACCTAATTAGCAACCATGCCTCCCAGAGTTATCGTCGTTGGCGGTGGATGTGAGTTTCTTCAGAGCTCCTTTCCATCGGGACCCCTCTATTTCTCCTGGATGAATACAGCTTTTACTGACGATAGTGGTGCTATAGTGTCGGGCCTCAGCGCAGCTCACACAGTCTATCTGAACGGTGGCAATGTGCTCGTTCTTGACAAGCAAAGTAAGCCCAATCTTTTAATCAACCTAATTCAACTCTCTTCTCCACCTTCTCACCTTCCCGCCAAAATGAAATTAATTGATTATTGAGCTAATCCTGCGCAGACTTCTTTGGCGGTAACTCCACCAAGGCCACCTCCGGCATCAATGGTGCTCTCACGCGGACACAAACCGATCTGGGCATTGCCGATAGCGTCAAGCAGTTCTATGAGGATACTCTCAAATCAGCCAGAGACAAGGCCCGCCCAGATCTAATCAAGGTCCTTACTTATAACTCTGCCTCAGCTATCCATTGGTTGCAGGAGATCTTCAACCTTGATCTTACTCTTGTTTCCCGGCTTGGGTGCGTATATGACCATTTTACATCTTAAATGCTCTTTGGTTTGATGATGTTGGAGAGAAGCAAAAATTCCAGAATATTGATAGCTGATTGATATAAAATAGAGGACATTCGTTTCCCCGAACGCATCGTGGTCATGATGCCAAATTCCCCGGTATGGCTATTACATATGCTCTGATGCAGCGTCTCGAAGAGCTTACGGAGAGTGAGCCACACCGCGTCCAGGTGCTTAAGAAGGCTAGAGTCACCGCAGTGAATAAGGAAGGAAACAACATCACTGGCGTCACTTATGAACACAATGGCGAGAGTCACATCGCTGATGGTGTCGTGATCTTGGCTACTGGCGGATACGCAGCTGATTTCACTGAAGATTCCCTCCTGAAGAAATGGAGACCAGACACCTTCAACTTGTCCAGCACTAACGGTGTCCATGCCACTGGTGACGGCCAAAAGATGCTCATGGCTATTGGCGCTAATGGCATCGATATGGACAAGGTCCAGGTCCACCCTACCGGTCTTGTTCATCCTAAGGAACCTGACTCCAAGTGGAAGTTCCTGGCTGCCGAAGGTATATCCAACCCCCTGAATGTTCCTATAGTTGCTTTTTGAGAGGACGACATTTTTACTAATAACGATGATTAGCTCTCCGTGGTGAGGGAGGTCTGCTCCTTAACTCTGATGGGCAGCGATTTGCCGATGAACTGGGTCACCGAGACTATGTTTCCGGTGAAATGTGGAAGCAAAAGGAGAAGGGCAAGTGGCCCATCCGCCTCATCCTTAACAGCAAAGCCTCTAATGTTCTCGACTTCCACACCCGTCACTATGCCGGCCGTGGCCTGATGAAGAAGATGACCGGCAAAGAGCTGGCTAAGGAAATCGGTTGTGGAGAAGCTGCGCTCAAAAAGACCTTCGACGACTACAACCAGATTGCCGACGGCAATCTGAAGGATCCATTTGGGAAGAAGTTCTTCCACAACGGCCCCGTAAAAATCGAAGATACCTTCTACGTCGCTCTGATGCAGCCAGTCCTCCATTTCACCATGGGTGGAATCGAGATCAATGACAAGGCCCAAGTCCTCAATTCAGAGAAGAAGCCGTTTGAGGGCCTGTTCGCCTGCGGTGAGCTTGCTGGTGGTGTTCATGGAGCCAACCGACTTGGTGGATCCTCCCTGCTGGGCTGTGTCGTCTACGGCCGTGTTGCCGGTGACTCTGCAAGCCAATATCTTTTCCAGCAGGTTCTCTCCAATCCTTCCGCGGCAGCTTCGTCCCGTCTGAACCAGATTTCCCTCCACATCGACCCATCCCAGCCAGGCAAGGTTTCCGTTGAATGGACCGCTCCGTCCGGCGGAAACAGTGGTGCGAAATCCATCCAAGCTGCTCCCGTTCCTACTGCTGCAGCAGCAAAGTCTGCAGCACCTGCCAAGGCCACAGATAATGCCGCAGACGTCGCAAAATTCAAGGTCCCAGACAAGGAGTTTACCATGGAAGAGGTCGCGAAGCACAACAAGAAGAATGACCTGTGGATCGTCGTCAAGGGCGTCGTGATGGATGTCACCAACTGGCTTGAAGAGCACCCTGGTGGAGCCCAGGCTCTCTTCAGCCATATGGGCAAAGATGCGTCGGAAGGTAAGCAACCCAGTCCGCTTTTTGTCTCCATTAGAATCTCTTTCCGTACATGTCGGCTGTAGCAAAGCCTTTTCGAATCAACTGCTAACAAATAACCTCTAATTTAGAATTCGAAATGCTCCACGACGATGAAGTCATCCCCAAATATGCTGCGGATATCGTCATCGGACGCGTCAAGGGCCAGACACCCAGCCTGGAATACTAAATAAATCCATTAGCTGAAACCCCATCGACACTCCGTCTTCCAACCTCTTCTATCCCATTGCGCCCTTTATAACGATCATGACGTTTTCCACCTTGTTGGGTTCCTGATTACAGACAGCATTCGTAAGAACTGCCCCCTTTGTACATTTATTAGCATAAACATCCCCACTATCATTTTCCTTCCAAGTAGGAGAGAAAGAAACTGCATGGAGCTCGACGGCGGCAGGTTTCTTCCTTACCACCTAACACTTTTCCATGTATCCTGTTTTTTGCTCGTTTTGCTGTGTTTGACAAATACTTAATAAGTGCGATTTTTTGACATCTCTAACCATCTCCGTTCTTGTATGCAGGAGTGTGGTTTTTTTTTTTGAGTACATATATTTTTTAAGATATTTCTGCTATGCTTCGTGCGTGTTTTTGGAATGAATGAAATACAGTCTTTTCTTCTTTTACTCTTAAAACATCTTGAGAGAATGGAAGTGACCTTGCATCTGTTGTACCCTCTGCCATTTTGCCTTATATGTTTCGTAGATGCCAAGACTAGCAATCGCTGCTATTCCATCCATCGAGTATTAATATTTGATTGTCAATGCGCGCAATCCATACCCGTACGCAGATACAAAATGATGCTTATGCCCAGCACTTCAGATATCTGACAGTGTCCCCGCACCTCCCAGTGATGTTCTGTGAAAGACATTAGATATTTCAATATCAGTGTTTGCACCAGCTATTAATGCAGCAGGGAAAGGACAGCGTTATTCGGTGTGTAAAGTTACTGCTTTTGAGATTCATCAATACTACATCTTCTATGCAGCGATGTCCTGGAGCCATTCCCAAGGCATCATTCGATTGATGCCCCTTCCCATTTCCGTATCATCCTCAGGGAATAAAATTCTCCTCCTTTTTGTCCTCTCGAGGCGGGGAGACACCGACGCCTCCTCCATTCCCAGAGTTGTATCAGGGAACGGCCGATATTCTGACTACATCTTTCTAGCTCCGTGAGATAGCAAATGTGCCCGTTCCCCGGGTGTCCGCATGGTCGTCGGATTCTGCGAACCCGGTTGGAGCAGAGTATATTATCGAGGGAAAGGCTCCCGGTATCAGGTTAGGGAGCTTATGGAACCAGTGGCCTAGAGAATCAGAACTACCCTGTGAAACTTGATTTGGAACACGTTCTTTTGACTAACAAATTCTAGAAGCATGGCTGTCTTTATTTTCAAAGACGATCTCCCACAACTCTTGCAGAGGAGACGACAACCTCCTGGCTGATTCTTGTAGGGACTCAGCTAGATCTTAATTGCCTTGCAACTGAGCCTCTCACAAGAGCTGAACGTTGGAGTAATGACAGAAAGAACATGTATTTGGACAGAGGGCCGTATAAGCGGAAGCCGTTGTGTGTGGGATACTACTATTGAGCGGTCCACTAATTGCGTGTTTATTCCGCGCAGGGCGAAGCTCCGAGGAATATGCAAGAGCTATGGGGAAGAATGAAGTAGCTCGGATCAAAGCAAACGCTCGTCCTCGCATAAACGCCTATGTGACTCTCAAAGACCCCGTGCTGCCAAAACAAGCTCTCTCGCTTCTATCAAAATATCTGGACGCCACGCCTTATCTTGGATCTAACGACCCTGCAGCCGGCACAAGTGTCCTTTGGCATCCAGATTTACATCTGGACAATGTCTTCGTCGACCCAGTGATGTGCAAAATTGCTGTTGTGGTTTACTGACAGAGCGTAAGTGCAGTGTCACTATTCTATCAATCTTGTGTACCTTGGGATGTTCGCATGATGGCCGGCCCCGTCCGAGAAGCGTGGGTCGTCCCATCATGCCCACCAATTTTGACACTTAAGTGAGGACAAGCAAAGGCGCAACGATCAAGACCTGAGAATGAAACTATTCACAAGTACCATGAAGCTAAGGTCTTCAAAGGCTTTCCGCTGGGAAGTCCTAAAACAGCAGAGAGATGTCCTGCTGAAACGCAATCCGAACCTGGCTTGTGACGGGTGTTTGAGAAAATCGAGACTTCTTCCTGCGTCAGAGCCTTATGTCTATTGCAGCGCTATGGGTTTATGCTATGACCTGATAAGACGACAGAGTGTTCGCTCTTTTTACAAAAGAGGAATTCGATCTTCATGCGGAGGAAGGCAAAAAACATCACCGGAGTCGGACAAATGCTGAAATTATCTCGCGATCAAGGGATGCAACCGGTGGACGGGATGGTGGACCCGGAGGAGTACGAGATAGCTAGGATCAACTGTCGAATGTTCAAAGATATATTCATTGGCGTCACGAAGATGAAGAAGAAACGAAGCTGTTCTCTAAACTCTGGCTGTATCAGAGTCACAGACCATAGCGACCCCAGCGGTTAATTTCAAAGGTGCTTCCAACCCGAACATATGTGACCATTCAGAGAGTGAAAACAACATTACCTGTCCAATAAGCCGTTCTCTTGATAGATTATCACACCTTTTGGAATGCAAGCGCATTATCCGACTGGTGAGATTGGCATATCCTATTAGGTCACTGGAGTCCCGGAGTCTTAGAAAACCAGACGGGGAGGACGGGAAGAGCAATTAGGAAATGGGGTGAAGTCTGCGTTTCGTCTAGTTAACTCTTTATCGCTCCTCTCGGCCCGAAACCCTTGCTGTTGTCAGGATTGAGATGATTAGTGGACCGTAGCGCAGAAACCACCCGCTCTTCAAAGCGTTGCCTTATAATGTCACTAACCGTACCATATGGATTCGATCAACAGCATTATAAGTGAGCCACCACGTCACTCATGAACATGCATCGATTTCTTCTTCCAACCCCGATGGCCCGGCGTGTTTCACTACAAATCTCTTTTCTAATCCTCCTACGCTGCGCCTTCTGACCGGGCCGCGACAAACATGTGGCCTATTAAACATATATTATTTGCATCTTGGACGGCATTCAGCTTTGCATCAAATTACTTATCACCTCTCTCAACCTTTGAGAGCCGGGAAGCCACGATCGAAAGAGGTTCACAATGCGCTCTTTTCAGGACGGTCTTCCTGTCAAGAGATTGTCTCCTCGTTCTTGGCTAGAATAGAGGAATACAACCCGCAAATCGACGCAGCTATTGGTCTAAATTCACATGCATTAGAGTATGCGGATAAAATGGACAAGGTGATACGGACAAAGAATATTACCACTGGGCTTCTTTTTTATTTACCCATCCTTCTCAAAGATAATTACGATACAATCGACATGAAAACCACTAGGGCTAGCATGTCGCTCAAGGATTTTCAACCCAAAGCAGATGCCCCACCCGTTAAGGTGCTCCGCGATGCGGAAACGATTATTTTGGGGAAAGCAAATCTTCATGAACTGGCTCTTGAGGGCATCTCTGTTTCTTCTTATGCGGGCCAAACTCTGAATCCTCACGACCTGACACGCACGCCTGGCGGGAGCTCCGGTGGAACCGGTGCGGCTATTGCAGCTTCCTTCGCCGTATTCGGAACAGGGACTGATACGGTTTACCAACTCGTTGAGGAGTCCCGTGAGTGCAAATAGTTTGTTCAGCATCCGTCCCACTCGGTGGCCTTATTTCTCGGCATGAAGTCATTCCCGTGTCGGATACGCAAGATAAAAACTAGGCCCGATTGGCAGATCATTGGAAGATGGGGCTACTGCTCTCACGGTCATGGCGAATATCGGATATGATCCCAGAGACAACACGACGGCCCTTGTCCCGAAATCTGTGGTGGGTGCGGATTACCCAGAGCATTACGTGGAGGACGATTGAAAGGGGTTCGACTGGGTTTAGTCGAGGGCTTTTTCAACCGCACCGTAGACCCTGAGACAACTCCAGTGAACAACGCGATGGATGCTATGGTATCAAAACTGCGGGCTTCGGGAGCTACTGTTGTTTCTATCAGCGAACAGATCTACAACTCAAGCACGATTTCGGGAAACTTAGATGTCCAGAAGTTCAAGTTCCGCGAACTTATGGATTTGTACCTGCAAGGTGAATCGCTTGGAGGCTCCCACCCTTCAAGCCTGTCGGAGCTGTACAGCAGCGGAAATTATCTTGTTATTCCTAGTCAACATTCTTATGTGAATATCGCCTTCGTCTCATAAACAAGGAACTCAACGTTCGCATTAAAGCAATACGGAATCCAAAACATCAAACTTGCCACTACGAGCTACTTTTAAAACTCACTCATTGGGTGCATTTATATACCCAGAGCAGCAAAAACCTCGTTGTGAAAATCGGCTCCCCCAGTCCGGTGGCATGGATGGCATTCTAGGCGCCCTTACAGGATTACCAGTCGTCACGATTCCCGCGGGATTTTCAACATCTAGCAAAGATGCACCAAATGGCGTACCTATCGGAATGGAGATCCTGGGATTGCTGTGGACAGACCTGAAGCTGCTGAATATTGCGAGACGGATTGAGCAGTTGGGAAAAGTCAGACCGATGCCAAAGTTCGTTTCCCTGCCTGGACGGCCTAAAAAGTGTGGTGTCGTACCTACTATTATCCCAAATTTAGAAGATATTCCTGAAGAGTATGCGATTGGCAAGTTGGGCAATGAGTAATCCAGTTTTACACTGGGGTGATATAGTGTTGCGTATTATCCTATGTCAAATCTCAGTAAGAAACCGTCAATGGTTGTTTCGTTGGAGAATATAGAGCCCGGATCATTGAGTTCACTAATATTTTTACATGTACTAGTATCTACATTTTCCTTTCCAGGAGAATTTAGTTATCTAGTTTTTAGGTTCTTAGAACAACCTTGAAAGCCATTTCGTAATTGATCTTACTCATTTGACCAGCCGCGCACTGCAAACATCGTTTACTGAGGCATCGTCTCCGGGGTCGGCTTCCACAGTACGTTGAAGGAGGGGTACGCAATGTCAACGCTATTAATATATATCTTCTCGCGAAGCTAAGGAATTGATTTATCATTGTCGAGTTGGGGGATTGATGAACACACCTAGGAGCAGTATATTAACAGCTAATTACTGCCTTACAGGATCACCCAGGAAGAATTTATATGGAATGCATCAGTTTCTTTTCCAGAATGCCCGTAGTTTGGCGTAGCTACTTCTGGCAAATATATGTTGTGTAACTGGTCAACACAGCAACGGCTGTTGCACAATGCATTCAACGCCTCTCAATCCCCCCAATCCCCTCAATCAACAATCTCCCAGCTCTCTCGGCTTTCATTCTCCCTGCAGCCATCTACCATCTTTTTAACTCCACTCCTTGTTACTTCTATTCCTTCGTTATCCAACCTAATCCTTCGCTATTTTCCAATCTGATCACTATGGAGGCACCGGATTCGCATGTCATCTCTCTCCTCACACTCCCGGTCAGGGAGAACGTATCCGAGCCCCGCAATGCTGTAGCAGAATGGATAAACAAACTCCGCACATCATTGGCGCAGGGTGATGCATCCGATTTACAAAAACTCTTCCACAAAGATGCGTGGCTGCGAGATATGGTGGTTATATCTTGGGACCTTCGGACTATTCATGGTGCAGACAGGATAGCCGCTTACTTCCAGGATAACTTGGAGAGAGTACGGTTTCGAGAGTTTCATGCCAGGGACTCTAGTCAGTTCCAGCCGGCGTTTAAGACTGCTGCTCCAGGATTACAATGGATTGAGACCATGTTTGAGTTTGAAACGGAGATCGCGAAGGGATCTGGGGTTCTTCGACTTGTCCTGGATACCGATGATGTTTGGAAAGCCTACCTGCTCAGCTTCACTTTGATGGCTTTGAAAGGGCATGAAGAGAAGTCTGGCTTCAGTCGCCCCAAGGGAGGAAGCAATTCTCTGCTCGAAAACACACATAGAGAGAATTGGGCGCAGAGACGAATCAGAGAGAAGAGCTTCAAGGAATGTGAGCCTACAGTTCTTGTTATAGGAGCGGGTATGTACCAAGTTATAGTCTCCATTTGCGGCGTGAGATGATGGCTGTGTTGACAAAATGATTCTGCAGGGCAATCGGGCCTCATGGTCGGTGCTAGACTGGGTCAATTGGGAATCCCGACCTTGATAATCGAGCGCAATGCTAGAATTGGCGATAACTGGCGCAAGCGATACAGGGTAAGTAGAGATAACAAGCCGGAGAAGTGACAGGCCTATCATACTGAAACATGGTGAACTACAGACTCTGGTAACTCATGACCCGGTCCAGTATTGCCATATGCCCTATCTGCCATTCCCGTCCACTTGGCCCACGTTTACCCCCAAGGACAAGTTGGCTGATTGGCTTGAAGCGTATGCCAGCTTAATGGAACTCAATGTGTGGACCAGCACGGACGCCGCGAGCAGCAGCTTTGACGAAAATTCAAAAATATGGACTGTAGCAGTCCGTTCGGAAGACGGTTCTATTCGCACCCTTCACCCACGCCACATCATCCTAGCCACAGGCCATTCTGGAGAACCTCAGATCCCCAGCATCCCTGGCCAGGAAAATTTCAAGGGTGCGGTGTATCATTCTACACAGCACAAAGACGCTTCCGGGTACGAGGATATCAAAAACAAAAATGTCATCGTCGTCGGTACCGGTAATAGCGCCCATGACATTGCGCAAAACTTCTGTGAGGCCGGCGCAGACGTAACCATGCTCCAGCGCGGTGGGACCTTTGTGATCTCCCAGAAGAAGGGGACGGCTGCGTTATTGGCAGGCATGTACGACGAGTCCGGTCCGCCCAGTGATGACGCGGATACCTACGTTCAGAGCATGCCTATCCCAGTGCAATTTGTCTTCTCCTCCTTGACAACAAAGATGATCCGTCAGAGCCTCGATAAAGATATGCTTGATAACTTATCGCGAGTGAGGTTTAAGCTCGATGCTTGCAGTGACGGGGCGGGCATTTTCAGAAAGTATCTTACTCGTGGAGGCGGGTATTATATTGATATCGGATGTAGCCAACTGATTATCGATGGTAAGGTGAAGGTTCAGCAGAGTGAGGGGGGTATTGAACGGTTTGAACCCCATGGTTTGGTGCTCGCGGACGGGAATGGGACGAAGCTTGCTGCTGACATTGTGGTGCTGGCGACGGGGTATGACAATATGAAGAGTACTGCAAGGAAGATTATGGGTGATAAGGTTGCTGAGAAGCTTTTGCCGGCATGGAATTTGGATGAGGAGGGGGAGCTTAACGCTGTAAGATGCATTGGGATTTTATTATTTTCTCTCATTCATCCCCTGATTCCTTGATGCTTTCATAGGACTGCTCACTGATACGTTATGGTTCTCGATAGATATGGCGATACAGTGGCCACCCTAACTTCTGGTACATGGGCGGCAATTTGGCTCTGGGTCGTTTATACTCACGCCTGCTGGCACTGCAGATTAAGGGAATGGAGGAAGGGCTATATGTTCCTCCTCGCGGGAAGGAGTAATTAGTGTTCTGATGCATAGGATGGTGAAATGCATGGATGAAGGCTGCTTTTATTGCTGGGCATCCGAATATGGGATTAGTTCTGGGGGCGAGATATGGCTTTTCTTCCGCGTAGCTATTAGGTAAATGTGTCCACCTGTCAATTCGACTGGAATCGGATGGGTATTCTGTTTGTCCTTTGATATATGGCTTAGGTACTGAGATGCGCATGAGGTTATGGGGGAGAATGGCAGGCGGCTGGAGCGCTGATAGGTTAAAATAAAGAGATTTTCAACGTATGCGTAGCATAGTATGGGTGTCCGTTTCTTATAATCTGTAATGCGATATGTCTGGTGAGAAATGTGCGGCCAGAATTGCTGGATAGAGATTCGCTCTGCACGACAAGGGACAGCAATATTTCTACGCCTTGCAACTAAGGGTACACGTGGGTCCTGGAAAGGGGATTTGCGCTGGGATATTCCTGAAAACCCCTCCATACTCTATGAAGAAATACCACTGTACCCCACGTATATAAATAGCTCGAGGGCATCGTCGTAAATCGTATATATTCAAGATGTCCAAACCCCTATATCCGCAATAAAAACATCGCTTCCGCAAGTAAAATACACATATAGAAAATACCTTCCGCAGCAAATCAACATAAAGTAGGTATATATCCAACCCTCCCCTATCCGTTACAATCTCGCACTCAAATGCCCCAGAACCAGCCCCAGCCTCTTCACCGCGGGCCCATCGTCCATAATCTCTCCCTTTTCCCCCATCTCCTTCCTCACCGCCTCCACATATGGCTTTAGAAATCCCCACACCGTATCCTGGTACGTCTGGTCAACTTCCAACCACTCTGCTACACTGGGAAGTTGCGTCCAGTCACAATCTTGTTGTTGTATAGCTGAAAGTATGGAAGCGATATCTGGGATTAGACTGAGTTGGCTGGGGAGGAAGGTGGGGATTGATGTTGTGGCTGCGGATGTGAAGGGTGGTTTGGATAGAGGAGTGGGGCTTATGGTGGAGGAGGAATGGGGGAGCATGGACGTGTCGAGCTCGAAGAGTTCGGATTGTGGAGATTCTGGAGGTGTGAAGGCGGTTGATTGGAAAGAGGGTGAGGATAGGAGGGAAACGACTGCTTGGCCATCGGTGGGTTTGGGGGTGTAGATGTGGTTATTGTTGTGATTGTGTGCGGTGTTTGGAGTGTAGGGGTTGTGCCAGGCGGAGTCGAAGTTGCCAGGTTGGTCAGGGGTGATGGAGGAGGTGGTGCGAATGAGGTCTGTTTCTTCTTGTGATTTCCTTTTCCCTTTCCCTTTCGCGCTAGATAGATCGTAGGCGTTTAGGAGGAGTGTGTCATTGTTCGCGGCGTTCTTCTGCGTAGAGTCCTGGAATTGTTCCCAGGCTTTATTATCTTCATTGTGCACGTGTGACGTTGATGACGGCGTAGAACGAAATGATTCAGAAGGGAACATTCGATCTCCGCCAGCTCGAATTGACGGCTGCATTAGGCTTAATCCATGAGACTGGAGGATATTCCCCGAAGTTGAGGAGCTGGCTTGTAGTGGAGCGTGAGGAGAGGACGATAAGCTGCCTTTTCCGGAGAAGGTTAGGCCAGCGGCAAGGGTCGAGGCTATATCGTCTGCGACAGAGCGGGACGAGGGACCTGAGAAGGTATTATATAGCAATCCTGATGCGGAATCTTGGATTCTGCTGGCCATTGAAGGGATTTGCGAGGACGAATCGGCTGAGGGATTAGAGGAGGAACCAGAGGATGAATGCGGTGGCTTTTCTTCTTGTTGAGAATCCCGCTGCGGCGGTCTCTGAGGGCCCGCCGGAGGGATTGGGGGAGTATTATTATGCATTGTTATTCTTTTCTTTTATGTTATTTTCTCCCACTGGGGAGTGCTTTTTCATTGATGAGATATTGTCTCATTCATCCTGCAGGATTGATGTTAGTTAGTTTGCCGATTTTCGCTGGTTTGTGGTTTGTATGATGGGAACGTATTTTGAAGCTGAACTGAAGAAACGTACGTATGGAGAATGTAATGCTGTAAAGGATATCCCCTACCGTAAAATAAGCGTATATTATCCAAAATAGGCTGTGTGTCTGTATAGAATTTGCCATCGCACATATGAGTAGCGAGATAAGAGGTTGATACCAGGAGCCGACTTTAAGTTGGTTCCATCTATTTAAGTTAGCTACATGTGAATGCTGGGCGCCACAGATTGTAGAACTAATTAACTGAACTATCCTAGTTAGTTAGTTACCTAACCAGTAAATGAAGGAATATCATAATACATACGTAGTCAATGACCTAGATATCTCTTCGCTTAAGTATATTTTATGGAAGAGAAACGCCATTAAAAAAACCAAAAACCAAAAACATTAAAAATAGGATCCATGTACTCCAGATATTTGCATGGCGTTTCGGAAGGTATTTCCAGGTACTTTTCTCCAGTAACACGGCCGCGAGATACTCGCGAGATACCTGTTGGTACAACAAACGCCCTGTGCCCGCTTTCTGTCCTCTTTCTGCCCTGTTGAGCCTCATCCAACATCTTCTTCAATTTCAACTTCACCTTTTCTTTTCCTCCCTCTCTACAAGTAACTTATCTCCATCCTTCTCCATCCTGGTTCC